GTCTGGCCCTTCAGAGAGATTTTGCACATCTCTGCTGATGCAGCAGGTACCAGTTGCTCTAGTCTAACTCTCTGTAGGTACAGGTTGTTTCCCTCATTTCCTCATTTTTAGGGATATCCTCAATCTATGACACAGAGAGATAGCAAAGATCACTGTCCCCCTTTTACAGACTAGGAAACTGAGATTCAGAGTGGACAGTAAGCTTCAGGGAATCCAGTGGAGCTGGAATTTGAGCCTGGGTCTGTCTGGTTCTGAGTTAGAGGCTTTCCAAGGGAGGTGTGTGTGCCAGGGGTACACAAGGGAGTCTGGGTGTGGCATGGGTGAAGGACTGTGTACAGGTGAGCAAAATTCTCAAAGCCAAATTCTGACCCTCTTCTGGTCAGGCTGGGGCACAACATTCGGTGAGAGGTGCAGAATGGGAGCCCCAGCAATGAGCTGGCCTCTAAGACCAACAGACTTGGATCCATTCTCAGCCCTGTCCCTTCCTGCTTTGTTCCCCTGGCCCAGTTATGAGGCATTGCAGAGCAGTTATGAGGACTCAATCAGGGAACACAGGTAAAACACGTAGTACCCAGTTGCTGCTCCATGCTAGGGGTCTGCCAGGCCCCTTTTTTTCAAGGTTTCTTGCCCGCCTGTGGCCGGGTGAGATGTGCATTCAGCCAGCAGGGGTCCCTGCTGCTGAGGCTGACAGTGCCTCTGGGCCCTGCCTGTGTGCAACCACGGGCTGACTCATTCCTCATTCCTCCCAGCAAACAAGCCCCTGGGTCTACTCCGTGCATGGCAGGGTTTGGGGCAGTGCTGAGAGCCTAGTGGATGAGGCCCAGCCCTGTCTCTAAGAAGCCTATAGTCAGGGGTAGAGAAGGTGGGGTAGGCATGGGAGCGCAGAGGCAGGACAATTACTGCACAGAGGAATCAGGAAGGCTTCTCTGAGGACAAGGCTTTTGAACCTGACTTTACAGGGAGAGTGGTGATTCAGCCACCACTCTGCAGACCCTGACACCTCCCTGCAGCCCCAGACACAGCCCACCTGAGTGTTCATAACCCCCATCACTTCTGTCCCCCCGGTGCACCATGACCACCAGCTTCTGAGAGCCCCAAAGTTCAGGTGCGGGCTGTCTGTGCACAGAGCTGAAGGCTGAAGAGTCTGTTTGGGCACAAGATGAAGAGGGCTGTGTGTCACCTGCACAGGGTGCAGGGAAAGCCCAGGCTTTGGAACCTAACAGTGGAGGTTCCTGACCACTTCCTACCAAAGTGCCCTTGGGCAATCACTACCCTTTTCCTGACCCCTACGCCTGGCTTCAGTTTCCTCCATGTAGAGTCCCCACTAGGTAATAGCAGTCCTTACCATTAGTATGGACACTTCAGTATGGCTCACTTGGCACCCATCTCCCTGATCTATAGTCTGTTACCCATCTCATCACATCCTGGTGAGGACCATACCATGCCCCGTGATGGGGGCGGGCAGGAATGCTGCACTGGAAGGCCTGCTCAGACCCAGCCTTGCTTTACTTCTGGAAGTCACTGCCTCAGGTGTTTGTGTCAGAGCCATAGAACTTTCTTGAAGTCATTCTAGAAAAGTCATCTCCCAGAACCCAGGAGTGAGTCAACAGGGAGAAGTGGAGGGAGGAATCTCGTTCCTCTTTGACCTGCAAAGGATATCTCTCTGATCTACAAATTCAATGGAACGCAGTGTGGTCTGTATCCTCGCACCCCTCTCTGAGCCTCAGCTCAGTAATAGCAGTCCGTAGGTGCTGGACACAGTCCCGTCCTCTGTTCAGCATCTCTTCTTTACCCTGGAAGAGCAGCCCTCTCCTTCTTTGGGGATCTCCTCCTGCTCCAAAAGCATTTTCAGCAAGAACTCTCATGGCTTCTATAGTTGATTGGCCCACGGGTGGACACCTGATTAGAGCCGGGCCAATTGGAAGCCCTCCCTGTTCTGTTTTGGTTTGAATCCGAACAGAAAAAAATGGCTGTGCGCTCAGGAGTTGTCAGTGGCCACATGTACTTCGTCATAGCAAAGTTGGTCTGTAGAGAGTAAGGCAGATGAGAGAGTCAGTAGTCCTGGCAGTATATGGGTCCTTGGTTCTGGCTGTGCCTGAGCTCACTAGCCCTGCTCACAATCTGGAAGTCCACCCCTCCTATAGATTCTCAGAGTCACCTCTCTGGTTTCTAAAGATAAACTTTCTCACAGAGATGTGCATAGGATCAAGTAAGCTAAAGCATGTGAAGCACTCAGCCTGAGGCCTGGCCCACTGCAGGTTCAGGAGGCATGAATTCCTTTCCCTTAATGGGCACTAGGCAAGAATGGGGGTTTGGCCAAGATACCAGGAAGATGTGAGGCATCAGCACTCATGAAGTAATGTAACAGCTACTCTGGGGAGACTAGAGTCAGGTGCCTTGGGACCCTGCAGAGCCCTACAGGAGACCAGAATGAATGCCCAAGCAGAGCATATGGTGGATAGGAAAGGATGGAGCTAAGAAAAAAATGCCTGCCCCATCCCTTTATTAGAGGAAAAGTTGTCAACCGGTACTCCCTCTGTGCCAAGGATGTATGCTTGGGTAGCTGTAGGTCCAAAAGATGGGTGCCAGGAAAGGCTTTTCAGAGGATGGACATTTGAGCTGGGCTTTTAAGGATGCATACAAGTTTGCCGAACACAGAAGGACTTGGGAAGGGACATTGGACTATCACTACCAATCAACCACTACTTATTAGAGCTGATTAGTAGTAGAATTCAGACCACCTGGGTTTGAATCCTGCCTCGACCAACCTTCAGACTCCTATGCTTCTGTTGCTTATCTACTGAATCAGGGATTTATGTTTTACTATTAAATGAGATAATATATGTAAAGCACTCAGAACAAATTGCTGGCAGAAGTCTGTGCTTAAGCACTCAGTAAATGTTTAGCTTATTATGAAAAGACTTTGCATTAAATCCAGTCCCCTAAAAGGGTTCATAGCTGTCACTGTAATCTTCCCAACTCTAGGAAGTAAGTATCATTATTCCCATTAATGATAGAAAGACAGAGGCTCTGAGAGTCAACGTTACACGTAGCTAATGTAACAAACAGATCAGAAATTCAAACCCAGGTTTGTCTAACCACTCAAGCCCTTAGCCCAGCAAGAGGAAGGGCCTAGCCTCAGAAGAGCGCACAGCAAGGGGCTCAGTGCCAGGGTTTTGTTATGGACTGACTCAAGAGCAGTAATGGATTGGGGACCATTGAGGTTTGCCTCCCTCTTTATAACAACACCTCCATTACCAACATCAGAGAACCAGGGGTGGCTGATGGAGGTGACTGAGGTACCCTCTCCCACTCCAGTGCCAGCCAGGCAAGCCTGGGGTTCCCAGGCAGGGAACAGAGTTAAGCAAGGGCTGAGCCTTCCCCACATGGTCTGCAGGGCCACGCCTCCCATGCCTCCCTGTAGGGCTGCAGACTGGAGCCTCCAGTGGGCCTCACCCCTGTTCCCTCCCTTCCCCACCCGACACTGCTTCCGGCAAAGGTCCTTGTAGAAAATTCCAGCCTTGCCCAGCAAGCAGCCCCTGAACAGGGGTTTTTCCAGCAAGGTGGAAGCTGTGGAGGAGGTGGCAGTTGGCAGCCCCCACTGACCTTGCTCGGGACTCCCTGCCTGTCATCGTCCCCAGGGCCCCTGGCCAGCATTGGCTCCTTGGAAAGGGCGGGCCAGCCAGGAGAGCTGGCTCAGGACGTCCTAGCAAACAGGATATGAGACAAAGGCGGCTGCTTATCGGGAGCCCACATTCCTTTCAGGTTATGCCCACAGAGCCCCAGGATGCTGTGGCCTGGGGGCTGCTCTCCCCGCCGGAGGACCTCCCTGCTGCCTCCTTTCAGTGACTCTGGCAGCCGCTGCCTTTCTGTCAGCTGCGGATGTGAGCAAGCAGGATTCCAGCCAAGAGCACCATACTGACATCTGTCTCTAGAGGGATGGGCAGAAGCTGGTGTCTTGGGAGGCAAGTGGAAGCAAAAGGATGGTCCACATTCACTCAACCAGTCCACTGCAATGCCCCCTTGTACCAGGGTACAGGTGTGGGTACCAAGACCCACCAATGAACCAGACCCAGTTCCTGCCCTCAGGGAACTTCCTGCCCAATGGAGGAAGCAGGTAGACACAGAGATACGTGGAGCACTGGATGGAGGGGTGGGTGCAGGTGAGATCAGGGAGGGTGTGTTTGAGCCATGCAAGGCAGGGTGGGGGTGGTTTAGGGAATCATAGGTCCCTTGCACAGTACCTGGCACATCAGTGGCCCTCCACAGGTACTGTCTGAATGAAGGAAACTTGGAGTGGCTTTGAAATAGCAGTGGGGCATGGGGTGGGTGGAATGGAAGTGCATCTGGGCTGGAGGAACAGCATGTGCAAATGCCCGATGATATAATGTACTGGACATTTGGGGAGCACAGTGAGGACCCTGGAGTTGCCTGGGCACTGGGCCTAGAAGCTGGGAGGGAGGCTGGTGGGCAGGTCCTGATGGCCTTGAAACTCAGGCTGAGACCTGGGCTTATTTTGCTGGCACTGAGTGCATGGGGTAGTGGAGGAGGGAGAGGGCTCAGAGAGGCAGGCCCAGCCTGGCCCAGGGGCTGGGAAGGAGGGGGGCCTCTTCGCCTGGGTGGTTTGGAGAGGCTGATCTGTAAAGACAGAGGCTCCAGCCTCTGAGGGTCTGTGCCCCCCTCGCCTGCTGGGCACTGGCACCACTTCTGCTGATTGGTGGGTTGGGCTCCCCCTGACTCAGGCAGTGCTGACTCAGCGTCTGAAAAGGTGGTTCCCATGGGCCCATGTCTCTCTGGGGGCCAAAGGCCATGCCATCTCTGCCCCAGCCACAAGTGGGTCAGTTCCCAGGGCCACCAACAATTAGGGCCGAATGGAAGCTAAGATTTCTAGTTCACCCACCCCTGCCAACCAGCAAAGCCTCAGGCAGTCCTTTCTGCTGTCTAACCACATGCCATCCCAACTCCAGCCTGGCTTTCCACTCCCAGAAGTTCCAAGGTACTACAGTTATCAATTCTTTGGTTTTATTTTAAAACAGTGAGAAGAAAAATAAATATCTTTTAAGAATAAGAGTACAGGGATGGGGTGGGGTAGTGGGGCTGGAGACTTGGGGGTGTCCTGGCTTCCGTGGTCTTGCGTGGGGTGCTGGGGGGCCTGGGATCTGCAGGCCCTCTCCTCGCGGCCAGGCCCCTGTCCCGTCCCCGCTGGGAGGTCTGGGGGCTCCACCAGCCTCGCCCGCCCGCGGCTCCCAGGCCGGGCGCTGCGTCAGCGGAACCGCTTGGATTAACCCCGTGGCGCCCGCCCGCGCCGGGAGCTCCGTCGGGCGGGGCGGAGTGGGAGGTGCAGCCCACAGCGGGCATTTCCGCCGGCGGCCGGCGTGGTGCCCGCCGCCTCAGTGGTGACCCATGTCCTCCATGCCCACGCGGCCCCAGACGCCCAGCACGAAGCTCTCGATGTCGCACTCGTTGGCACCGCGCACGATGCGGAAGTGGCCCCTCTCGCCCCAGGCTGGGCCCCAAGAGTTGGCCGCGGTCTGCAAATGAGGAGAGGCCGTGAGGAAGGGAACGGGCGAGGGGGCCCGGGGAAGAAGGGCCGGGGGAAGGAGACAGCGCCCCCCGGACGCGCGCGCGCAGAGCCTCACCCAGTATTTGAGCGTCCTTCCATCGGGCAGCGTCTCCTCTCCCCACCTGCGGGCAGAGCCGGGAGGGGAAGGGCGCTGATCACACCTGCTTTCAAGGACTCCACCACCGGGACTCCCTGCCCAGGCCCCTGTTGCCTCTGGTGACTTGGGTGCACCCTCAAGACTTGGGCAAGTCTCTGTCCCTCTGCCTACTTCCCTCAGTCTCCGTCCGCTGCATCTATGCCTGCAAACCCTACATCCAGGGTGGGAAGGCGCCAAAGGGAAGGCGCTGGAGGGGGTGAGCAGCAAAGGGGGGAACCCTATCTCTGGGCATCCACATCTGCGGCCCAGTTCTCTGCGACCTCACACATCAGCCTGCCCTCCCTCTTGGGGAACCAAGGAGAGGTGGGTGCCAGAGAACAGAAGGAAGAGACTGAAAGAATGTGGGTATCCCAGAGGCCCCAAACTCCCACTGCAAAGTGCAGTACATTAGTTGGACAATTGAAATCAGTGACGTGAGCATCTCTCATTGTAGCAAGTGGGGAAAGCCAACGCTGCGGAGTGAGTCAGTGAGTCAGGCAGAGTCAGGACAGGTGCCGAGGTGGGGAGAGGCTGAGCAACTCTTGACTCCTTGTCAAAACTCTTGAGTTATTTGATCCCAGTGTATAAGGATGGAACAATTCCTGGAAAACCTTAAAGGCCCCCAACTCTCAGTGTGACCTAGGGCAAGTCCCTCCTTTTTTTGAGTCTCTGTTTCCTCCTCTTTAAAATAGTCCTATGCAGAGAGATGGTAAGGATTCAAGGCAGGCTCAGAGCCCCAGGGCAAGCCCTGCTGCACCCCACTCCCTCCGCTCCCCGAGCCCCTCACCCTGTGATCTTGACCGAGTGGGTCCCATGCCTGCGGTATCGCTCTGGCCTCCCAAGGCTCACTGGTGTGTGTCTGTAGATGCCTCCTTGGTACAGGAAGAAGTCCTCGTGCACCTCCATGAGGGCTGTGGGTAGAGGTCAGATAGGGCTGGCTCAGCCCATTAGCACAGGCACTGACGCCCAAGTCCAGAGATGCAAGCCCAGGCCCCAGACAAGACTTTAAGTGGCCCTGTCCTGGTGCTACCTATGGGGAGGGGACACAGTCCCCACACTCCCAGCCCCAGTGGATTTGCTGCTCAATACTGTACAGACCACTTATGCCGCTGTGCCCAGACTCAAGCAGGCACAAGCTTCTGGAACCAGAGGGCAGGATGAGGGGCACTTACCTTGGACAGGGCCATTCTCCATCAGCTCCTTCATGATCTCCTTCTCCTGGAGGGTGGGGGTGGGGTGGGGAGAAGAGTATCCATCAAGGGTGAAGCTCCAGCCTTCTGGGTCTCTCACCTCTGCCCTCCACCAAGTGCAGACTTACACTGGTACCAAGGCGGTAGGCAGGAGTGACCTGGTAGATGTCATTGTCATGGACATGGCTATTGGGACAGCGGGCAGTGGCCTGGCGCTTGCCCCGGCCCACGGCCCGGCTGTGCATCATGCAGCGGGGCGCCTGGCCAGCCTCGTTCTGCTCACGGCCCGAGAATGGGTAGCAGTGGTCAGACACAACCCTGGAGGGGCAGCAGGCAGGAGCAAATGCAGAGTGAACATGGTGCGGCACAATCCAGGCCCTCCTGCAGGGTGCTGTGCCATCCTAAGGCCCCCACTTCATGCCAGCTTCCTGGCCCGTGCCCTCTGCTGCTCACCCTCGACGTCGCAGGAACCACCAGGCACCATCGAGACGTCCACCATGGCAGCCCTGCTGGTTGTGCGTGTCACAAGACAGCAGGTTCTGGGGTGACAGGACAGGTGTCATGTGGCCCAGAGAATGGATTGAGACACGATCAGATGCCACGGCTGGTAGGGGAGGCAGAAGCGCTGTCAGGGGCTCCACCCGTGGCCCTCCTTTCCCTCTGAGCCAGTCCCTGCCCTTGGACACACCTGCTGTGGAGAAGGCCCAGGAGCCTGCACAGTTGCCCTGGTCCAGAGGCTCATGGATCAGGTTGGGCCACTTCTCCGAGGCCTCAAAGGCTGTGGGTAGCACCTCTCCTGGGCCCAGCACTGTCTGCAAGGCAAAAGTGTCTGTCTGCCTCCTGCCCCTCAGGGGCGCATTGGCATTGGAGGGCCACCAAGAATCAAGGCCTTCTGCAGTTTGATCTTGAACCCGTCTGCTGCTGAGGTGTCTAGCAACATCCACGATAACTCAAGTGGAAGACCCAAGTGCTGTCATTCAGTGCCTCCCTTGTGTCAGGAGGGGTGTGACTAGTCCTGTTTTACAGATGAGGTAACTGAGGCCAGGTACACGAAAGAGGCCAGGGACAGGGACTCCCTGCTTTCCATCCTCAACCCCTGCCTTGTTCCTCCTCTGCACCTTCTGATTTGCTACATCCTTCTTCCCACCAGGACCTTGGGCTCCAGGCCCTAAAGGGCAGGAGAGGAAAGAAGCAGTAAGGTCCTGTGACCGGGCAGGCTGCCAAAGCAAACAGCAGGAGGCAGAAAATAGCAAAGGCCCAAAGGAGTGAGGGCATGGGCAGGGTCTGGTCACCCCAGCCTGGAGCTGAAATCCCTCTGCAGGGAGGGCCACTGTGGCCAGCAGCTGCCGCTCCCCGCCCACCACTGATGGACACATCCTCCAGCATGTGCCCCAGCCCCGTCCTGCTGAACTTCCCCTTCTTCACCCTTTGACTGTTCCAGGTTTGGTTCTCATTTCTGTCCCTAAGGGGTTCCACTGCTAGGAAGGGAGAAGCCCCCTTGTCCCCAGGGGTTCCATCAAGTCAGCATTTGTTTCCAAGAATTGCTGCTCTCTGTTCAGAGCAGGAGGAGTGTCAGTCCGCTTCCCAAAATACCAAGGTGACTTCCTGACCCCTTGGGCTCTGACCCAGCCATATTGGGGCCAACAGCATTTTTCCCAGGCTAGAGAGGCCAAGAAGGGGCTCATACTAGGAGCTCAGAATCTGAGCATGAGTTCTTCCAGGGCAGCTCATCTTGTTAACAGGCAGGAAACAAAGGCCCACAGAAGGAGAGTGTCTTGTCCGGGCACACAGCCTATCAGAGGAGGATAGGTCCAGGCCCTTGGAGGAATGGGGCACAGGGTACCAGGGGCCCTGAGGTCCTAGGCCATGTGAGATGGCAGGATTGAGGGCAAGGAGGGACTTACGTGAATCTCATTCATGTTGGAGACGGAGGGAGATGGGCGGATGGTGCCCAGGCGGTAGCGAATGCCCTCATTCAGGGTCATGCCCCAGAAGGCGCTGTGGTTCCCAGCCCACCACCTGGAAGAGAGGGGATGGAAGTCACAGACCTGCTAAGGCTGGGGGCCCTGGAAGCACGTGCATGTGAGTAGGAGAGATGCACCCTGGCTGAGTGCACACATGAATAAGACTGAGTGTGGCTGTGCCCAGCAGGACGTGCATTTGAGGCAGACTGTACGTGGGTATGTGCGCACATGTGCATGTGTGGCCACTACGGGCACTTCCAGAGCCTCTCACCCGTAGTTGCCTTGGTTGATGGCGTTGATCATATCTTGGTCCACCAGGCATGGCTCCTGGTCACACTCCCACTGCCCTTTCTCCTGGCAGGTGCTAGGGGAACAGGAGGGAAGAAGTGAGGTGGTGCTGGGCACTCTCTGAAGGGAGGAGGCCTCGCAGGTCCATACAGCCTGCAATTCTGCACCCGCAGCTATGGGTGGATCCTAGATGATCCCATCAGGATGGTGGCTTTAAATGTCAACCTCAAGTTCTTGATTCTCAAGCATATATCTGCTGCTGGGATCTCTCCCTAAACTCCAGATTCAAGAGTCTTGCTGCCACACGTCACCACTGAGGTGTCTAACAACAGGTCAGTCTTAACACATCCCAAAACAATTTGCTGACTCCCCTTGCTCTCACGCCTGCTCCTTCCACAGTCCTCAGAAAATGGCCATTCCGTCCTTCTTGGAGCTCAAGCCAAAGTCCGGGAGTCACCCTTGACTCCTTCTCTCATGTGCCAATCCAGTTCATTGGCAAATCTTGGCTCAAACTTAAGAACACATCCAGAATCCAAACCATGTCTCATCCCCTCCTGCAGCCAACGCGGGCCAGTCACCTTTCACCTGGATTAGGCTGCAGCCTCCTCACTGCTCTCCCCGCTTCTGCCCTGCGCACACCCCTCCTTCAGTATATTTTTAACATAGTTGCCAGAGTGATCCTGCCCAACCCAAGTCATATCACGCCGTTCCCCTGCCCCAAACCCTCCTTGGCTTCACATCACAGAGTAAGAGCCAAAGCCCTTGTGCTGAGAAGGCCCTGCATGACCTGTCCTCCTGTCCCCTCTAACCCTCCTCCAAATCCTGGTTTCCGAGACCCCAGGCAGGCTGGCCCCGACTTCTCACCAGCCGTGCTCCAGCCCCAAGGCCTTTGAGCTGCTCATCCTCCAACATCCTCACGGCTCACTCTGACTTCTTCCAAGTCTCTTGGGTGACCCTTCTTAAGTGGCCTGGCCACCCTATCTTAAAATTTAGTATCCTCCACCCTTCCTATCATGCTTCCCTGTTTTATTTTTCTCCTTAGTATGTCATCACCATCTGACATTCTATATACGTAGTATCTCTATTGTTTATGCCTGTTTCCTCATAGACTAAGGTCCTTGAGGGCAGGTATTGTTTAGTATCTTCAGTGTCTAGGAAACAATACCTACTACATAGTAGGCACCCGATAAATATTGTTGAGTGAATGAATGAGGCTCTCTAGTGAAGTGACTAGGAACATGGCTTCTGAAATTCAAATCCTGGGCTTCAATCCCAGCTGACTAGTCACAGACCTCAGGTAAGTATTTAAACTTTCTCCTTCAGTGTTCTTATACCCTCTTCTGGGGATTAAATGATGGGCTCCTAAGCCCTTTAGCACAGGGCCTGGCCCTTCATAAGCGCTCAAGGGTTGTTACTTGTTGCTGCTGTCCTCGTTACAAGAGCCCCAGGGCCCTTCTCTTGAGTTTCAGGCTCCTGTCCAGTGGGCCCCCTGACATCTCTGTCTGGGTGTATCCCAGACTTAAACTGGCCCAGGCCGCCTTCGTCCAAAGCTGCTCCTCCCCAACATCCTCAGCTTCGAAGATGGCATCTCAGCCACCCAGGTGTTCAAACCAGAACTCAGTGTGGTGTGCGGTGCACCCCCTCCACCCCCACCACCAGCAGGTCCTGGGAGGTCACAGACCAAAGTGCTCTGAGTCCATCTGCCTGTCACTCCTCCACTGCCACCACCCTACCTGGGGACATCATCACAGCTCACCTGGACTGTGGCAATGGCTTCCTAACCAGGACCCCTACTTCACACCCTGCAATCCATTCGCCACCTATTCTGTGCTCTCTGAGTGGCTTCACAGGACTCTTAGAACAAAATAGACAATCCTCAGCACCTTTTATGAGCCCCATGGATAAGGCCTGGGCCTCCTGAGGACTTCTCTCCCCACTTCACAGCTCCGGCTGAAAGAATTCCGTCCCACCTCCTGGCCTTCCCACAGCTGTCCCCCAGCCACACCATCCCCGTTCCCTCCCGTTGGGCTTGGGCCACTCATCTTCCGTCTTTCCATCTTTCCGTCTCTCTGGTATCATCACAAATGACCCTTCCTGTGTGGCTTCCCCTTGCCCCCATGCTACTTAAAACTAGGATCCTCCACTTGTCTCTCTTTGCCGCTGTGACACCTACAACAGTTGTAATGACATGTGTATTTGTGTGGGTGGTCCTCCCCCATTAGACTGGAAGCCCCCATGTGAGGACCAGGACTGGCTGGCTCGTTCTGGCTTCATCTCCTTAGCCCAGCACAGTGTCCGCCAAAAAGGAGGTCTTTAATAAATGGGTTTTGACTAGGCGGTTGAATTCTATGAATTCTATGCTTTTACAAGCTCATAGCTCTGTTATTACAAGATGCTGAACTGCCTCCTCCTCCAAGTCCTACCGAGACCCCCATGTGAGGACCAGGACTGGCTGGCTCGTTCTGGCTTCATCTCCTTAGCCCAGCACAGTGTCCGCCAAAAAGGAGGTCTTTAATAAATGGGTTTTGACTAGGCGGTTGAATTCTATGAATTCTATGCTTTTACAAGCTCATAGCTCTGTTATTACAAGATGCTGAACTGCCTCCTCCTCCAAGTCCTACCGAGGCTCCCGCCTCCAGTGTTGCCTTTTAAGGAGCCTCAGGGGGAACAGACCCAGTATGGCTGGGCTCTCCAGCCCCAGAAGTGGGTGGGGCACTTTCAGGGAGGGCTAGAGGAGACCTGCCAGCCACCAAGGAGGGGAGGCTCCTCTGTCCTTTCCTTCCTCCTCTGACTCTCGAAGCATTCCTCGAGGGCTCACACAGCCTGGAAGGCCCATAGACACTGCCCCACACACTCCCCCAGGTGTCAAGCACAGAGAACAGCTGCCCAGAGCTGGCTGGGGTGGGCAGAAGGCTGGTCAGTCCTTTCCTGCCACCTCCCCTTTGGACCTCAGGGCTGCCCAAGCAGGTCCAGACTGGGCTGGTGGCAGCAGGTCCCAGCATTCCACAGGGGACCTGGGTGGCCAGGCCCCAGGGATAGGAGTGGGAGAGAGTGTTAACCCCTCAATGTCCCCAGGCACCCTCTTAGGACCTGCAAAATCATGCAAGCACTCTGAACATACACACACACACACTCTCTCTCTCTCTCTCTCTCTTTCTGTCTCACCCAGATACTCGCTGAAATGTACGAGTCCCCACTCTCACTATGACCCTGTACCTCTCATACCAGTGAGGCAATGGAAACAGCTTATGCGTAATGCATTCCAAAAAGTTTCCTCCTCCCTGGGGCCTCTCAGTCCCAGGCAAAGAGGGCATGGGGTGGAGTGGGTGCAGGGCCTCCTCCTCTAAGTCACAGGGTCTCCGTTATTTCCATGAAGGTATTCAAGGCTTCCAACCCACATCAGGACTTGGATTAGAGTAGGGGGCATGCCTGACACCCTCATCTTCCTACCAGGAATGGTGGGGGGAAGGAGAGGGGCCACATTCCAGGGAAGGCCCTGCTATGGGCTGGCTGGCCTCCAGCTCAACCATCCCTGACCCTCATCCGGTCCAGGGCAGCGGATGCGGCAGTCAGAGGTTTCCTTCCTGGCGCCCCCTTCTCTGACTCTCCCGTGACATCAAGAAAGATTGGGAAGGGCAGCAGCCCAGCCCAAGGCAGGAGAGGCAGGGAATGCATCCCAGCTCTGGGGCTGCACATGGGGCCAGGCATTCATGGTTGACCACTCCTGGGGAATGTTGTTATATAAGCTGACGTGGTCAGTGTAAAAATTCCCATGTTACAGATGAGGAAACTGAGGTTCAGAGAAGGGAAAGGACTTGACCCCAGCAAGTGAGTGACCAATAGGATTTGAACCAAGTCTGTCAGCCACAAAGCCCACAAGGCAAGCCCCCTCCAAGCCCCAACACTCACCAACGGTTACAGTTGTCCCAGTAGGTTCCCCAGACTGGATAGATGCGACCCCCATGCATACATCCTGGTGGGAGGGAAGAGGACAAGAGAAGTGGAACCACGACCACAGACAATGGGCTGAGATGGCCAGGTCCTCAGAGGTCAGGTGTCCTGAAACCTCCCAAACACACCCTCTCCCCGCTGCCCCACACGCTCACACACACACACACACACACATCCCAGCCCTCACTGAAACTGAAGCCAGACTATAACTTCAGACATCTCCTGCAGAGTCACACAGCAACTGCTATCTGGGAAGTTCTACAGTGACTCCAACTTGGATCCACCTTGCTGCACCTGGATACCAGCCACATATTCCCTGTATCCTTTGCCATTTAAGTGAGTTGGGGCTTAGAGATGGGGAGTAGCAGGGGCCTATGGAAGCCAAGGCCCAGAGAAGGTAAATCACTCCCCTAAGATAACACAGCACTTCAGGATGACAACCCAGACATGAAGGCTCAGAGCTGCAGCCCCACGGAATTGTGGGAAGGAATCCAAGGGATTCTCCTATTGAGCAGAGGCTGCTGCGAGGGAAAAGATGATGGTGAGGGCTGAAGGCAGCAATAGATTTGACCCACCTCCCAGGTGTGAACAGCCATCCCACAGGCAGAGAAACCTGAGCAAAGGCAGAGGAATGGTGAAGATGACCCCGACCAACCCCAGTTTGCTTTATCAGCTTGAGGGTGAGTCAGCAGGTGGGGCCAGCACCTTCCATATCTGGAATGGAGACTGGACTGGGAGGAAAGGCAAGAGGCTGCCCTTCTCCTGGGCCAACTTAGAATCCCACTGGCTAAGGAACTTCTCTCTTTCGGTTTTGCTGGAGAGATTCAAGTTAGACCAGAGCAGGGACTTCCCAGAGGCCCAGAGAGCGGGGCAGGGTCTCTCCCAGAGTCTGCAAAGAAATCCTCTCCTGGAAACGTCAATGCATCAGCCTTGCTCCGGAGCCTTGCTGAGTCTGGGGCTGACAAAGCGACCCACCCTCCTGGCCATCTGGTGCCCACCTTGGATGGGGGGAAAGGGGGGTGGCACGCCGAGGCAGAAGTCCCAGAAGTCAGGGCAGCAGTCGGAGACGGTGCGGTTGCAGAAGAGGTCACAGTAACAGGTAGCGCCCAGGTAAGGCAGGGCGCAGTCATCAGCGCGGCCGCGGCAGCACAGGTCCTGCTCCTGGCAGTACCTGCCTCCCGCATCCCGGATGCCCCGCAGATGCAGTGCCGGTGCTAGCTCCCGGCGCCAACGACCCCGCTGGGCACCCAGAGCCAGCTCGCCCGCCAGCAGCAGCGACAGCAGCGGCCCCGCTGGACATCGCCACATGGTGCCTCCTGGGCCCGGGGGTCAGAGGTCAGGAGTCAGAGGTGCTGGGCCGCAGGGCCTCCCTGCTCCCTAGGGACTGCTCTCCCGGCTGGCTGGGGCCGTGAGTCCAAGGGAGTTCAGCAGGGTCACCCTGACTCCCGTGTGCCCAGGCAGGACACGGGCAGAGGAGCAACAGTTTACGTGCCTTGGCTTATAGGGACAAGAGGACTGGGCAAGAAATGGAGCCCCTCCCTGACCTGCTTGGGGACCTTCAAGGACAGGAGGTGGGAATGGTGGCATTCTTGGTGACCCCACTCAACACCCATAGCATAGACCCGAAGTCTCCTCTCCAGTCCTGGGTCCCTCGGCCCCTCCCTCAGCCTCCATCCGTGACGTGGGTACCCCCTCTTCTGTTCCTCTCTCTGCCCCTCTGCCCCTCCCCACTCTCCCTGTCTGCGATCTGTCCTGGTCCTGGTGTCTGCCCGCTCCTCTTGGTTCCCCCTGTCTACACCGCCTCCTCTCGGAGCAGAGGAGCGTCCCTACCTGGTGAGGGGTGTGGTCTGGGTCCGGGCTGCCCCACCACCTCCGCCTCGCGGTTCCTGCGACAGCTGGACACTCAAAGTCAAGTGAGGAGCCCGGGGGCGGGATCGCCTTTTGTACCGCCCCGCCCCGCGCCGCCCCGCCCAGTCGGGCTGCGGAGGGAGGGGCCCGGCTCGCCGGCACCTGGAGTGGCCAGGTAACTCCGCTGCGGGGCTTGGGAGCGGGACGGTGAGCACGTGATTGCCCTCTCTGGCAGCCCTGCCCTTAGTGGGCGGAACTCCAACCAAAGCAGAAAGGATTGTGGTCTGACACCAGTAAGGACCTCCCAATGGCCTTAAGAGCAGGCCGTGGAGAAGGGGAGATAGGGCGCAGCGGAGCTCTGAGTTTAGGACCCGAATCTGGGAAAGATGGGGAGGGTGTGGGCGGCAAAAATCTCTAAGACTCGCTTAGATCCCTCAGTAATAAAAAACCATGCACACCCCTCTTCACAGTGCCCCCCAGGTTTGGGGCAGCCCCAAGCCGCCTCCGTTCCCGGGAATGATTGGAATCTGGAGGAGGAAGGTTTAGGACCCTGCGGAAGCCTTGGGAGGCTTGTCCTCCGGAGGGGTGGGATGCTATGGTGTGGGGGCTGCCTCTGGCCTTGAGACCCCTGTTTGGGTCTGGCCTGCCTAGTCTGCCTCCTGGCACTTTACCCAGCACTGCCCCCTCTGTCAACCCAAGGGCATCCTGCTTGGCACCCTGTGAATACATCCTGGTGGGAGGGAAGAGGACAAGAGAAGTGGAACCACGACCACAGACAATGGGCTGAGATGGCCAGGTCCTCAGAGGTCAGGTGTCCTGAAACCTCCCAAACACACCCTCTCCCCGCTGCCCCACACGCTCACACACACACACACACACACATCCCAGCCCTCACTGAAACTGAAGCCAGACTATAACTTCAGACATCTCCTGCAGAGTCACACAGCAACTGCTATCTGGGAAGTTCTACAGTGACTCCAACTTGGATCCACCTTGCTGCACCTGGATACCAGCCACATATTCCCTGTATCCTTTGCCATTTAAGTGAGTTGGGGCTTAGAGATGGGGAGTAGCAGGGGCCTATGGAAGCCAAGGCCCAGAGAAGGTAAATCACTCCCCTAAGATAACACAGCACTTCAGGATGACAACCCAGACATGAAGGCTCAGAGCTGCAGCCCCACGGAATTGTGGGAAGGAATCCAAGGGATTCTCCTATTGAGCAGAGGCTGCTGCGAGGGAAAAGATGATGGTGAGGGCTGAAGGCAGCAATAGATTTGACCCACCTCCCAGGTGTGAACAGCCATCCCACAGGCAGAGAAACCTGAGCAAAGGCAGAGGAATGGTGAAGATGACCCCGACCAACCCCAGTTTGCTTTATCAGCTTGAGGGTGAGTCAGCAGGTGGGGCCAGCACCTTCCATATCTGGAATGGAGACTGGACTGGGAGGAAAGGCAAGAGGCTGCCCTTCTCCTGGGCCAACTTAGAATCCCACTGGCTAAGGAACTTCTCTCTTTCGGTTTTGCTGGAGAGATTCAAGTTAGACCAGAGCAGGGACTTCCCAGAGGCCCAGAGAGCGGAGCAGGGTCTCTCCCAGAGTCTGCAAAGAAATCCTCTCCTGGAAACGTCAATGCATCAGCCTTGCTCCGGAGCCTTGCTGAGTCTGGGGCTGACAAAGCGACCCACCCTCCTGGCCATCTGGTGCCCACCTTGGATGGGGGGAAAAGGGGGTGGCACGCCGAGGCAGAAGTCCCAGAAGTCAGGGCAGCAGTCGGAGACGGTGCGGTTGCAGAAGAGGTCACAGTAACAGGTAGCGCCCAGGTAAGGCAGGGCGCAGTCATCAGCGCGGCCGCGGCAGCACAGGTCCTGCTCCTGGCAGTACCTGCCTCCCGCATCCCGGATGCCCCGCAGGTGCAGTGCCGGTGCTAGCTCCCGGCGCCAACGACCCCGCTGGGCACCCAGAGCCAGCTCGCCCGCCAGCAGCAGCGACAGCAGCGGCCCCGCTGGACATCGCCACATGGTGCCTCCTGGGCCCGGGGGTCAGAGGTCAGGAGTCAGAGGTGCTGGGCCGCAGGGCCTCCCTGCTCCCTAGGGACTGCTCTCCCGGCTGGCTGGGGCCGTGAGTCCAAGGGAGTTCAGCAGGGTCACCCTGACTCCCGTGTGCCCAGGCAGGACACGGGCAGAGGAGCAACAGTTTACGTGCCTTGGCTTATAGGGACAAGAGGACTGGGCAAGAAATGGAGCCCCTCCCTGACCTGCTTGGGGACCTTCAAGGACAGGAGGTGGGAATGGTGGCATTCTTGGTGACCCCACTCAACACCCATAGCATAGACCCGAAGTCTCCTCTCCAGTCCTGGGTCCCTCGGCCCCTCCCTCAGCCTCCATCCGTGACGTGGGTAGCCCCTCTTCTGTTCCTCTCTCTGCCCCTCTGCCCCTCCCCACTCTCCCTGTCTGCGATCTGTCCTGGTCCTGGTGTCTGCCCGCTCCTCTTGGTTCCCCCTGTCTACACCGCCTCCTCTCGGAGCAGAGGAGCGTCCCTACCTGGTGAGGGGTGTGGTCTGGGTCCGGGCTGCCCCACCACCTCCGCCTCGCGGTTCCTGCGACAGCTGGACACTCAAAGTCAAGTGAGGAGCCCGGGGGCGGGATCGCCTTTTGTACCGCCCCGCCCCGCGCCGCCCCGCCCAGTCGGGCTGCGGAGGGAGGGGCCCGGCTCGCCGGCACCTGGAGTGGCCTGGTAACTCCGCTGCGGGGCTTGGGAGCGGGACGGTGAGCACGTGATTGCCCTCTCTGGCAGCCCTGCCCTTAGTGGGCGGAACTCCAACCAAAGCAGAAAGGATTGTGGTCTGACACCAGTAAGGACCTCCCAATGGCCTTCAGAGCAGGCCGTGGAGAAGGGGAGATAGGGCGCAGCGGAGCTCTGAGTTTAGGACCCGAATCTGGGAAAGATGGGGAGGGTGTGGGCGGCAAAAATCTCTAAGACTCGCTTAGATCCCTCAGTAATAAAAAACCATGCACACCCCTCTTCACAGTGCCCCCCAGGTTTGGGGCAGCCCCAAGCCGCCTCCGTTCCCGGGAATGATTGGAATCTGGAGGAGGAAGGTTTAGGACCCTGCGGAAGCCTTGGGAGGCTTGTCCTCCGGAGGGGTGGGATGCTATGGTGTGGGGGCTGCCTCTGGCCTTGAGACCCCTGTTTGGGTCTGGCCTGCCTAGTCTGCCTCCTGGCACTTTACCCAGCACTGCCCCCTCTGTCAACCCAAGGGCATCCTGCTTGGCACCCTGTGCCCCTCCAGGGCTCAAGGCAAGAGCCCTGCCAGCTGGTGCCCCCTGCAGAGCACCCCCTTTCCTGCCATGAGCACAAACCCTTCCTTTGCCCAGGCTGGCCTGGGCCCCAAACAATGAGGCTTCTGTCCCACCAGGCTCACCATCACCTCGTACCTCCCCATTGCGCAATCCCCTCTCTTCCAGCAGGTTGGGTCAGAGCCAGAAGACTAACAGGAGAGAGGATGAAAGAAACCACACCTGGACAGAGACCCATCCCCAGGCCTGAGCCTCACAGCTGCCCCTTTGGAGAGCATCAAGCATCAGGGACTCTCTCTGCCCTGTCGCTGACCTCCCTGTACCACTCCCCCAGCCTCAGGGCATCCTCAGCTGGCCAGCTCCTGGGGAGGGGAGGGACCAGGACAACAGGCATCTGTGACTGGGTTACCCCCTGCCAGGCGACACTGGCAAGGAGTCTCTAAAGGGATCTGCCCCAATAGGGGATGGCAGGGGCAGGGGGTGATGTCCTGGGGTTCCAGCACTGGCACTGACACCCAGGAGCGGGCCTATCTGTTTCCTGCAAGGATCTGGGAAAACAAAGCCTCGATGGGAAACTGAGGCTCAGAAGAACAGAATTGCCCAAAGTCACATGGCTAGCACCTGGCTCCCTGCCCATCCTCACTCCACCCCTTTCCCTCCAGTCACCCTTAGTCACTCACTACAGGTCTCAACACCCCCTGGTTGGGAAGTCCCTTTCCATTTTTAAACTCCATTCATCTTACTGCAAGGTGGGCCCCTCGGGATTGGTAAATGTGGGGTCCTTGGGGTGGGAGATGGAGGCTGCCTTCAGAAGAGCTCGGACCCTAAGGACCTGCTTTCATGGATCATTTTCTGTTTGGTTCTGGGGATGGGGGCTAACCCAGGGGCATCTGGCCTGTCCTTTACCCCAGATCACCCCCCATAGGCCACCCTGTGAGTGTGTGTTGTGTGTGTGTTTATGTGCGCATGTGTGTGTGAGTAGCTGTGTTTGTGGGGTGTTTCTGCTTGAGTGAGTCCGTCTGTGTCTGCTTATCTCTCTGTTACCTGTCTGTCTGCTATGTGCCTGTGTATCTGGATGTTGCCTCCGTGTTTGGCCAGGGTCTGTCTGTCAGTTTGTGTGCTTGTTGGCTTGTGTGTCTGTGTGTATAACTGGGTGACTGTCCCTGTCTGCCTATCTCCTCGGTGCCTGTGTATCTGTGTAGGTGTGTCTGTTCCAGTGTCTGGGCCGTCTGCCTATCCTTGCCTGTCCGACCACACAAGGAGGCAGAAACACAGAGCAGGAGAAGATCCCAGAGCCAAGAGCATGGCTGAGGTGGGGACGTCCCTTGTCATTGCTGCGCTTGGCAGTGAGCCTGCCCCAGTGGAATCTTGTGACTTCTGGGATTCTTGGCCAAAGAGGAAAGGAAAAGGGCAGGGCTAGGTGGGGTCTGGAACCCCACTTTCCTTTTCCATGGCTCCCTTCTTCCTGGTGACTCATTCTCTCTTATTCTTGTCCAGGGCCTGAGGCACAGCAACAGGTGAAGAAACATAGCAGAACTTACCCTCTGAGCCCTTTTGCCCTCTGGAAAGCAGGTGGCCTGGGACTCAGTGGTGACTCTGTCCTCCCTCGCTTGTGACCCTGAGCAGAGCAGACACTGCCTCTCTCTGGGTCTTGGTTTCCCATCTGTATCCACTGGCCCCTAGAAGCCCTTTCATGCTCTAGTCCTTCTACAAAGGGAGGTGGCTAAAAAAGGTGACTAAACTTAAAAAAGGCAGTGACATGCCTAAGGTCACACAGCACAGCAGTGCCTCTCCCCCTCTACCCTCCAGCTCTGGTGCTCAGGATGGGCCATTTTCCTCTGGAGGCTGCACAGAGCCTTTTCGGAAAAAGAAGACCCATGTGTTCTGCTTAACCATGTCTGTAGAGAAGAACCCACTGCTTGGGTCTCAAATGACACTCCAGCTAAGGCTGGGGGTCCCCTGTGACCCACTGTGGTCAGCTGGACATGTCCAGGACTTGGAGCCGTGCTATCTGGGACTGACTCTGAGATCCAGGACAGGCCTGATGTTGTACGTGTTGAGTCGTGTTGTGACCTGTCAGGTATCCTGGGGCCTGTTGGGTTGTGTCATAAAAAGCACTGCCACAGGGCTGCATGACAGAAAGAATGCTGCCCTGCAGTAGCATGCTGGGACTTGTGGTAGATAAGATTCGGGGCCATGTGGAAGTGTGTTGTACCACACTGTGGCACACTTTACTATCTGATCTTCTCGTTCATTCCAAAAGTATTTGTTGAGCACCGACCATGTGCCAGACTATGTGCTAGGCTCTGAGTGTTCGGGGTTGAGCACTAATGGACGTCAGACAAATAAATAAGCAAACACACGTATCAATAAGTCATTCCACAATGTGAAGTGCTATGAAGGTACGCATGTGGCATAGGAACCTGGAGTATGTGATGGTCAGGGAGGTCTCAGAGAGAAGAGGAGGAGGAGGCAGCTGTTCTCAGACCCCAGGGAAGGGTGTTCCAGGAAGCTGGATCAGTATGAGGAACAGCCTGAGGCCTGGCACAAGATGGTCTGTTTGAGAAACAGAAGAAAGCCCAGAGTGGCTGCACCACAGTGAACAAGGCAGGCAGAGAGGAACAAGACAAGGCTGTGGGGGCGGGGGGGGGGGGGGGGGGGGGG